CGGGGCCCCCCACTAGTCCCTCAGGACACACAGGCTCTGGCCCCTTGTCCCTCCCACCCGAGGCACTGGGGGGCACAAGGCCCCTGGGACCCCCCTCCTGGGGAGCCTCCCCATGCATTGCCAGTGAATTCCAGCCCTCGTGCCTGCGGAGGAAAGCTTGCAAACACGACCCCAACTCAGTAATCAGAAGGCAATTAAGAAGCACCCGCTTCTTAAGAAAAGAAACTCATGCTTGTGGGGGGCGGGACTCATGGGGTTTGACCATTTAAGGCTGTCCACACTGTACATTTAATACCAGGATTAGCAGTGGGAAGGCAGTGCAGCCTAGTGAGTAGAGCGCTGGACAGCCTCAAAGGAGACCTGACTTCCATTCCCAGCTCTGCTGCTGGGTGAGCTTCGGCAAGTCACGTCGTTTATCCGTGCCTCAGTTTCCCCCTCTGTAGAACGGGGGAGAATGATGCCGGCCTCGTTGGGAAAGTGCCATGAGATCTAAAGGCCTTGAGCTCCGATCCTTAGCTAGGAGGAGTCATTTTCACTGGCGTGGATCTTCGTGGGCTCCCCATCTCTAAAGCGACTCATCTCTCACTCCCCTCCCCCTCCCGTTCCCCCGACCTTCCCCATTTCTTGTTAAAACAGCATCCCTGCCTGCCAGGAGCGGCCTGGAAACCCGCTGCATTTTACAGACAGCCTGGAATGGGGGGTTGACTTTGGGTGCCCTGTTAGGACCACGCCAGCCAAGGCTGTTATTTAGCCTCTGGGCACCCTCTGTGCAGCCCCCCTCTGCTGATCCCGGCTCCCACCACAAAGGCACGGAGAACCTGGCAGAAAACCTACTGCTCTCAGCCGGCAGGCAAGGACACTCAGATGGGGCCATTGTCATCTGGGAGGAAAGCAAGCACCCTGCCTCTCCAGCTCATTTGCATGCTGCAATTCGGTTGGCTGCCACAAGTGGCACAGGTGAGCGAGACTGGACCTGTGGCAGGAATTCTCCGTGATAGGCAGCTCGGCTTTGCTGTGGGGCCACACGCTAACTCAGGCATCAGCGACACCATCAGGGAAACTGAGGCTGGAGTGCAGGGCATTGGGGGTTGGTTCCTTTCTCCACACTCCCCTCCAGTCACACCAATCTCCGTAACACACAGCCCTTCCCGAAACACACCCCTTTCCCCCCACGCCAGTCCCATGCACATGCTGTTTCTCTTTGTGCTCCCAAATCTCTATTTCCCCCCCATAACCCTAACATTGCTACTCATCTAACAGACCTCTTCAAACACAGCTTGTCCCACCTTTACTGAGGCCATGAGCAAAAGACACTTAAAAAAAGAGAATCATTAGAAAAACATGTATTCTACTCCAGGCCCACGCACTCAAAATGTCAAATTGTCTACTTATTGGATGGCTTCACTATGGGGCAGAGTTAAGGTTATATGGGAACCTTAACACCAACTGATTTATTTTAGCTTTAACTTGACCTCTGACTTGCTGGGTTTGTAATGCGTATTTGTGGCATAACCGCCACATCCCTGTAATGTTATTTACCCTTACGCTATCGATACGTCTTCCAACCGCTAACTCCATAGCCATTTTGCCTGGTTACATCTGAAAGATGGGCCTATTTTAAAAGGCCACACATTCTCCTGGCAGAAACTGTTGAGAGTCCAAGCTGTATCTCCAAGGTCAAATATTGCAAAGGCGGAAATACACCCGCAGTTGGTTAAAGAAGTTCTCTTACGATTAAGGGATTTCAAAGAAATTCTCCTTCATTAAAAAGTATTTGATGTGAGGACCGCTAGGAGGGGGAGTCTTAAAGCACCTTCAGCCATTCTCCCGCCGTCAGAATTTGAGTCGACAAACTATTTGCTACCCATGTGCACCATCTACTGGATAGCGTAGGAATGCAATTCTGAAACCAAGACCGAGGCGCGTGTGGCCACTGAAATAGGGATCACCCAAGCCTCTGGGATTTAGGCATAAAAGCCACATGGCCACATGCTTCTGTCTCTCTTCACTCTCCTACATGAATAGAACAGGCCCGCCGATGGTGGGGGAGGGGCAAAGGCAGCAACGGCCCTGGGGACCAGCAATTTAAAAGGCAGCAGTTGGAGCCCTGGGCACTTTAAATTGCCTCTGGAGCCTCGGACGGCGTGCACCAGATGGCCTTGGGTGGGGGAGGGTAGCCCCAACCTCAAACCCGCTCCAGCCCCGCCCCTTCCTCCCAAGGCTCCACCCCTTCCTGGGACAAAGAACCTGGTCCTCCCTCTCTCCTTTGCCCAGGGCCTAGCAAGTCTGTTGGCCGCCGAAGGCACACTGTGGACCCCGCTGTGTCCCTGCTGCAAAGCAACCAGTGTGCCCTCTGGACAGCAAGCAACCAAATGCAGAGCAGAGCGGCCAGTCCTGACCTTGCTCCAGCGCCTGGATCCAGAGATGCCAAAAAGACCCCAGGAAGCCCACTGACAATTACTCACAGGTTAATGCATTCCACAGCCTGGCAGGACCGCTGTCATGGTCCAATAGTGCCCATCAGAATACACCCTACACACCCTATTTCCCATCAGAATACACCCTACACACCCTATTTCCCATCAGAATACACCCTACACACCCTATTTCCCATCAGAATACACCCTACACACCCTATTTCCCATCAGAATACACCCTACACACCCTATTTCCCATCAGAATACACCCTACACACCCTATTTCCCATCAGAATACACCCTACACACCCTATTTCCCATCAGAATACACCCTACACACCCTATTTCCCATCAGAATACACCCTACACACCCTATATCCCATCAGAATCTATTTCCCATCGGAATACACCCTACACACCCTATTTCCCATCGGACTACACCCTACACACATATTTCCCATCACAATACACCCTACTCACCCTATTTCCCATCAGAATACACCCTACACACCCTATATGACATCGGAATACACCGTACGCACCCTATTTCCCATCAGAATACACCCTACACACCCTATATCCCATCGGAATACACCCTACGCATCCTATAGCCCATTGGAATACACCCTACACACCCTATGTCCCATCAGAATACACATCCTATATCCCATTGGAATACACCTTA